TACATGTATACATGCATTACATGTACACACTGTGAAAGTTTTGTGAAATGTGTCATAACTGAAATGTTGCGCAGTGAGAAATACTGCACAGTGTGAAATGTTGCGCAACTGACGCAGTAAATTGCAAGGGGAGTTATGTCACTGCGTAAAGGTTTGTGAAATCGGCTGCAGTTTTGTCTAAAATGAGGCCCCCTTCAATGGCCAAAGCGTTGTGCTAGCTATTGTTCAATGTACCTGGCCTAATGAAAAATCTGAATAACAGCTAGCACAATATTTTCACCATTGAAGGAGTGAACAGTGAAAGTGTGCTCAGAATGTGCTCAGAATGATCTAAAACTGCATCACACTTAATGAAGGAAGTTGTCTGCAAGTTGTCTGCAATTTCAAACTACATGGAAAATACACATCAGCATCGGCTCTGGAAGAAACTTGGACTTCAGGCAATGACTCATTTTGGTGGTTGGAATATAACCATCAGCTGATGGTTTTATCTGTTCGGGTTATCATCAACTAGGCCAGGTGCCAGTAGCCTGTGGTTTTTAACCATTTTTGAACCCCCCACAAAAATGAAATAATAATAGACAACCTTGGTTATCCCCAGGGACGCTGTTCAAAGCAGGTGATTCTCATTCTTTTGATTTTTTTCTTTCTATTCTTTCTGGACTCAAGATAGCTACATGGATCAGTTTCGTGTGATTCACGCTCAGCTTACTGCTAACAATTTCCAAGTGACCACTGACATCAGATCCTTTAAATAAAAACTCTTGTCATATTAGGTCACAGAAATATCCCAAATGGCGCAGTGACTAAGCTCCATGTCTGGAAAGATAATTACTTGAAATTGAGGACATCACTGGTAGTTATTTTTAAGGTACCGGGTACCCTTACCATAAATATGGAAAGAATTAGAAAAAATAGCAAGGCCCTGTTAACATTATCTGCTGGGGGCAATTGATACAAACTGTAGGTTAAGATTTTTGGGGGAAATTTAAAAGAAAAGGGAAAGAAAAACTTTGACAGGAAAAAAAAATCTCAGTTCAGCATGAAGCCAGTCTAACAGGATTTAGTTACGCAAACAAACAGAAAATGCTCTGTAACAACCGTTACCAGGGTCTAGTGAAAATATTTTCTCATGTGAACTAATGTGCGGATACAAGGAAGTAGGTCAACAGGACCACGCCAACAACAAAAATCTGGAGTTCATTTCGATTCCAGTTCACCAGAGACGGCAAATAAAAAAAAAAGGTGCCTTGTCGAGATTACAGAATACAAGGATCTGTAAATTCATGTACATGTAAATGTGATCAAGGATTGAAGGGTCTATTTCGGTTTCTTCTCTGAAACATTGTGTCAATAACCTGACAAAGAATGAATCGTGCATATCGTCGATGCTGTGGTCAGCGAGACAGTCAACCCCTTTATAAGCATTCATCACCCGATTTAAACTGTCTTTGCCCTCTGTCAATGCCCTGCGTGTACAGTCAGTGCGTGAGTCATGTACTCCATTTCCTTGAAACCTGGGAAGTGGGAGTAATTAGACTTGCCTGCCAGTCCCCTCAGCCCATTTTGTTGAACCCGCTAAACTGAAATCCCTTTCAGATGAACCACATTCAAAGAAAGCCGCAAGATGAGAATGGTGTTTAATAAGTGGAACTCTTTTCTTTTGTGGCAGACATGACCCGGTCATGAATCTAGAAATCACTGATCTGGGACAAGAAAGTCACAGATAAAGGGCAAGTCTAATGATTGGAATGCCTTTTGTGCACACAAAAAAGACAAGGTCATTGAGTGCAGTGTACACATAGATTAGGTCACGCGGCATCACGTACTGTGCATGTACCGGGTATGCAGGAATCCGGCCAGGGAATATAAATTCCAGAACAATAGGGGATTATTCTAAACACGAGGAAAGTGGTCGGACAATAGTCATGATGAAATGGAATTCGTAGAAGTGTCTTCAAAATGCCTATCTACATGTACTGGCTAACATTTTTCGCACCTATTTTTTTTTTTACAATTTGATCTTTTTACAAGGTTTTTCTTCGGGGATAAGACAAGTCTGGTCGTAATAACACCAATTTCAGCCGAAGTTACTCAATAGTTTACCTAAATTGCAGATTTTTCTTTTCTTAAAATCAAATTTAAGAATTTAGAGAGTAAGCTGGTCGTGAATTTATCACGGAATCTAACTTTTAGAGAGATTATATCCTGTTCACACATTTTTCGGATTATATTTGTATCAATACAAAACAACATACAAAGGATCAACAGTAAATATCACCTATTTAATATGACTATGTACTGACTACATGTACTCTTCTCCGCACCCACCTAAAAAATTGGAAAGATCAAAGCAATTAAATTATAATACAAGATAGAAATATTTTAAGTTGACAAGAGGAGAGATAAGGTTTCTTGATACAGTGTATTCTGCTGTGTATATATATTTACGCTCTGCTGTAATTCCTTGGAACAGTTAGTCATGTTAGTCAGCATGTGTCACCCACTAACCCCGCACAGTAAATAATCGTAACAACCGCTTGATCAGATTCCGTCCGACACTAGTGTTATCAATTCAGAAACAGGGGCACGTCACATTTTATAATTTTTTTCCACTCATTGAAAGAAAAAAAAGAAGATGTGTGCTGATTTACAAGAACATCTTGATTTTATGTTCTATGGGACCTGTGGTACTTTTTACATAAAATTACACCACCTCACTGATGTATACGGGTCTGTATACAATGCGTATACAATATAGTACAGTTTGTACAACATTGTAATGTTTGCAAATTAATCAGTTTTGCTAATTTACAATAACAATGGGAAATGCAGTCTGTGAACAGAAATGAGCAAATTTACACAAACTATGTCGTTTTTAATAGGCGTCCTCGCCTGCTTGCAATAGTTTTCCGTAAAAAAACTGATACTTTGTGTAAGAAATTTATGCCTATTTGTAAAACGATGTCATGATGCACTTATAGATCTACATGTAGATCAATTGGCTGGCTTTATGTGATGTGTGCTGATGTACATCCTTTGCATAAATGCAAGTGGTTACAAAAACAAACAGACATGATGAATTAATAACAGTTTATGGGGTTTCAGATTAGTTAAGTTGAGCACCGGCTGATCCAGCTATGGCTGGGGGGGCAGCTAAAAACTATGTTTTTCTGCATGATTTTCCTATTTTTGGTGACCAAAGGGAGGGGGGGGGGTGGTTTTGACCACCTAAGCCCCTCCTCGTAGATCCATCATTGCTGAGGACAATTATACTTCTATAACCAATATTTAAGGTGGGACCCCCCCCCCCCTAAAGCAAATTATTGTTTTATCATCCCTGCCTGCCTACATTGACAATCATACACATTTTTATCAAGTGAGTTGTTTTGTAAGGTGTAAACTTTATGTAAATAATTTGTATACATTAATAATGTGTAGACTCAACAGATGTATTCCTTTTCCAGTTGATACACAGGTTTGAACATTGCATTTTTTTGGGGGGGGAGGGGTTTGTTCATAGTATTTTGTTAATTAATTTCCCACTTTACTTAGTCTTATAACCCCTGTCTGCATTTTATTTAAATACACTCTGTTGATAACTTCACAATCAATTACTGTTTCATGTCCTTAATTTTTTTTTCATCAGTAGGTTGTTTTCCAACAATTATTTGGACTATTTTCATCAATGTTATTATTAGTATGTGCTAGTTTACGCAACCACCTTGATGCATACAAGCAGCAGCACGATTAAATCTCATGAGAAGTGTCTTGTGTTGTCAAATGCAATTGGGAGCCGATTTTGGCACCTCACCAATGCAGTGTTATTACTCAGTGCAGTGTTGGGATAAGAAGGTAAAATCCAACACTGGCATAATGACACTCATTCATAGTACTAGGCTAGGACGTATACAGCATCGTAACCATTTTTGAAAGCAGTAGACCACTCCACTTAATTGTTAAGGATCCTGCTCTGACAAAGAAAGTTCTGATTTGGAGGTTTTGCACACAGAAAACAAGGTAAAGTGTAGCTTAGGACCCCGTTCCCATGTATAGGAGAACGAAAAGACTGCAGTGACTCCCTTGTCTCTAACATGTCTTACTGATAAAAAAGGTAAGAAAGTCAGCGATCGTGTAATTACGGGCTCAGTTCTGGTTTTGAATTTTTGAGGGAAAGTTTGGGGTAAAATGACGATGACAGCAACAAAACTCAACCCTAACATAAAGATGGCTATCACCGTGATGTACATTGTGAACGCAGAAGGCACACTGAATCGGACGTCACCAACTGTAAACCGCGTAATTTCTACCCTAAGAAACAGTTTAAAATTACAAAAAGGTGTCATTAGAGTTGAGAAATCTGCTTTAGGATGAAAAGGTTATTTTGTAATGATAAAAAAACACCCTTGACTCTAATTTGATCGAAACTAAAGAGGGGCCCACAACTACACAAACACCTCCAAGTCACATTTTCTTCCAACGTACTGACCAACATTATAAAAACCTAGAGCAAATACAAAAAATTGACTGCTTGAGGATGCAAAAGTCATGTGAAAGTCATGTTGTAATCAGTCATTGTTGACAGTCATTTACAGAAGTCATTTTTGACCGGAACTATAGTAAATTTGTTTCCTTCACTACACTTTACTGTAAAAACACTAATGAAACTCAAAAGACATGAGCATGCACATATTTAGCACTGATGATCACTGATCGCTGATTATTTGGTATCAATTTGCAAAGACAAATCTTGACTTCATTTTATCAAAGAAAATACATTTTGCATTGCATTTGCACGTTTTGCATGTTTTGTCACAACAGGCAGATGTTGATTTCAACCAGGTCAAAATTAATCAAATTTAGAAATGGGTTGTCACCACTACCCAGCTAGCACCTTGCTCTATGTTTCAAGCCAGGCAGGCAGGCAGGCCTTCCAAACATGTCAACAAGAACTGAACAACAAAAGATCACGTCAAAACAACAACAAAATGCCGTGTTACCTCAACAGTTTTGATTTCCTGTTGCGTGTAGTCGCTGCTTCCAAGCTTCCGCAGACCGTCCAAGCTGGTGATTCGCCCGTCGATCACGGACTGGATGGCCCGCAAGTTATCCAGGGCCTTGGACACGACCAGAGGTTCATCCGCCATGACTGGTAGCGACACGATCTTTTCGAGGGAGAAATCAGCTCATTGGGAACACCTTCAGATCCGAGGAAAAACTACGAAAATGATGGGACATTTTCTGAATGTCGCAACTAGCTGCTGCTGACAACACTCGCAGACATTTTCTGTACGGTGAAGGCGGTACCACTTTAAAGTCGGTGTAGTTTGGCAATGACTCACTTTGAGGGACGCACATAACAGCATAATCGAGGCCGACTATTTACACCGTTTGTGGTTAAGTGTACGACTTACCACATTTATTTACATGTTAAAATAAAACGTTCAGTTTCAAAACATATCAATGGCTCTAGTTCAAACACTTTATGAGTGTCTGGTTTTACATTGCCATTTAATTTATTTCAACTCCCCATTGTAAAATAGACGAATCTGCAGGCACTTCAAAGTGCACGTACCTTATCATCAATCACGTGAAACACTGACGTCAGTGTCGGCAGCACCTTGTGAATCTATTCGCGCCAAACAAGAAAATCGCAATGGCAGATACGGGGCCCAAAAGAGCCGCTAATCTCCCTTGGTAAGTCTCGCAAATCGCTCTTTCTTCATATTTAATGATACCGTACTTCAATTTTAGATATTATTGTTTGTGGCGATCAAAGGCATAAATAGATCTTGATTTTCTTGACCACGAAATTGCATAAAGAAGTTCACCATGAGTTGATATTAAACGTTTGCCCGATAGTGGTCTATGGTGTTATGATTGGCGCCCTCTGTTGTTATTACATGTATTTAAGTTATTAAAAACAAGTTTCTAGCATTTGATATCAGTAATAATTTTCCAATTTCTTTTGTCTTTCCCCCTCTAGGGTTGAGAAATACAGACCCAACAAACTTGACGATTTAATTTCTCATCAGGAGATCATAAAAACAAGTAAGATCAAAGATGACGTCCAACCAGTCAAACTGCGGAAAGATTAGCATGTCATGCATGTATGACATGTATGATGTATGAATCCAGAGGCCAATTCAGTGTGCACAAAGTCTATGGAGAGTCAAGAATATTTTCAAAGTATTTTCAAACGAAAGTGGAAATGTTTCTCAGTCCCAGATTCATCATGTCTTCTCAACATTTTTGCAAACCTTCAAAAGGCTTCATTGAGACATGGAGGAATAAGAACACCCCATGATTGAGATGATGTATGTTAAAAAAGGGGCATCAGGATTCTACTTTCTTGCAAATGGCATGTATTTATTAATACCCCCGCTTTAATAATGCATAATATTTTGACTTGTTTATTTTTTTTAATTTTATTTCAGCCACACCCAACTAAACAGCGCAAGCGCCAATAACAGAATGGATAAATGGAGAGAAGACAATGAGAAGAAATTACAGTTGTAGAGGTGGGAGGAAAAGCCCAGAAGAATATTCTGGGGAAAACCCACGGAATCAGGCAGGGACCGAAAACCCAATCCACATATTAGCCCAGGCGGGATTCGAACCCGGGTCACAGCGGTGGAAGGCGAGGAAAGTACCGCTATGCCAACCTGACTCCCCTATAGCAAAAAAACCACTTTCTCGTCCAAAGTCACTTCCTTTTTCTTGCCCGCCTCCTTTTTAAAAAATTGTTTATATATTTTTTATTAATCACACATTAGCAAGTTATTTTTGTATTTTCATTTGTTAAATTCCAGTGAAATTGTAGCTATGTATGTGTGCGAGTTCAAGGTGACGGTGATCCTTTGGACACAAAAGTATCGACAAAAGAGTCAAGAAAATCGAAGAATTCATCCACCATCTTGGCATGCTTGGGGGAGGAAAGGGCCGCCTCCTCCCTTTTTTATTTTAAAAAGCCCGGACGAGAAACTGGGTTTATTTATTTGGCCTTTGATTTGAGAAATTACAGTCACATTCAAGACTTCATAGCTCCATATCTTCTAATTTCCAGTTCAGAAGTTTATGAATGAAGATCGACTCCCCCACCTGCTGTTCTATGGACCTCCTGGTACAGGGAAGACTTCAACCATTCTCGCATGCGCCAAACAGCTGTACTCACCCAAGGAATTCAACTCCATGGTCCTAGAGGTAGGTATCACGGGGACCAAAAAGGCGAAACAAAAAAAGTCATATTTAGCATCCCCGCTCGGTTCCTTTTTGGAGGCCGCCCCCTTTTTTTTGTAAATTGAAAAAAAATCCCCCCAAATGATAAATTTAATGATCTTTTTTGGAAAAACAAATTGTACTTTTAGACTCTAAAATCTGGTATGTCATTTCCTGAATCGAAGTGGTGGCCATTTAAAAAGAAAGCTGGCACCATCTAGAAAAAAAGTCCGGCTGCGGCTGGTGGTTTTGGAATATGAGTCGGGAGTCCATTTTGGGGGATAAAAAAAAAAAAAAAAAGGCCACCTCCTTCCTAGGACGGACGCTAAACATGTTTTATTTTTTTGGCCTAACCCCAGGCTGATATCAGCGTTGAGTCAACTAAATAAGGGGCCCAAAGCAAACCATGTTTTTAAAATACTCAACAGATGATTAGCATCCTTGATCAATTTTAGGATGCCTCCTATAATTTCGTTGGAGAGAAATATGAAAATGAATACAAATTAAGACAAAAACATGCAGAAAAATTATCAAAAACAGCCTGCAAATGGCAACCTGTTTTTGAGGGGGGGGGGATTGCTAGGCTTGTGCGAGTTGCGCTCGGGTAATACGCACGGACTTGGGGCTCCTTTGACCAATAGGGTTACTTATGCGCGCGTTCCTTGTCTTTAAGAACGCATGCGGCATGAGCATGGACATGGTGCCACCTTCAAAATTGCATCTAATATTGTTGGCCGAATAACATTATAAGTTGCTCATATCATGTGGTGTATCTGCAAAATTCTCCAAGAGGGTGGAGTTTTAAACATTGTCAGCGAGCAGCAGATTAACAATTTAATTTGTTTTCATGGTTTGTATCATGACAGCTGAATGCTTCAGATGACAGGGGTATCGGTATCGTCCGTGGGCCCATCCTCAGCTTTTCCAGCACCAGGACCATCTTCAAGTCAGGCTTCAAGCTGGTCATCTTAGACGAGGCCGACGCGATGACCAACGATGCCCAGAATGCACTCAGGAGGGGTGAGTGGGGGAGGAGAATAGAGCGATACTTTTCATTTTATTTTTTGGACCCTTGCTCAAGCTTACCCTTTCAAGAGCTCAGTGAATGAACCTGAAAAAGGTATTTTTCGAATCGTGTACATTCATTATCTTGTAATGGTGAAGAAGATTACAGACTAGGAGTTTTGGATTATTCTCTGAATCACTAATCTTTTGACCACAAATTCGTAGCCTTGTCGAGACACACACACAATAGGGAACAAAACATTGTAAAGGTCTCCACAGGGCAATTTCTATAGATGAATAGGTCTCCACAAGGTTTTCACGAAATAGATATATGGGTTTTACTCAAAAACTAGGAATTTCCAAGGTGGGTTGATCCGTCGCAAATGGAAGAGTTTTAGAAAAGGGATATTAATTCCAATTTTCAGCCAAGGAAACTAATTCTGGTTAAAATAAGAGCATTTTGAAACTTCACTTTCAAAATTGAACACTTTACTACACGAGAACAAAGAAATGTCTCCACAAGGATACAAATTTGAGAATGTGTGATCAGCGCATGTGTCATGGTTTCCCCACTGTCATTTGATGCATCTCCAAACTCACTGCATTTGGAATCTTGGTATCAATATATAGTCTTCTTTCGTATGATGCTGTTCAAAACTCTGCATCCATCAATCATCGGATGGTGCAATCATCAAGGTCCTGCAAGCATTGGGTCCGTGCAGGGGGGTGGTGCAGTGGGCAGTCGGCAATGATGTGGTCCACCGTCTGACGGACTCCACACTCACAAACGTCGGAGGGTTCCGCACCGTTTTTTGTAGAGGACAGTCTTCGTTTTCACAAAGCCGGTCTGGAGGCGATGCAGCTGCACCCAGGCTAAACGGTGGAGGCTACAGCCTGCAGGCTTGCTGGAGAAGCTGGCAAGGTACTAGTGAATATGCTCACATGAATTCATCCAATTCTTTTTGTCGTTTTTGTTTCTCAGTGATTGAGAAGTTCACAGAGAACACCCGTTTCTGTCTGATCTGCAACTACCTGTCCAAGATCATCCCAGCTCTGCAGTCACGCTGTACCAGGTTCCGGTTCGGACCGCTCAACTTACAGCAAATGGTTCCCAGAATTCAGCATGTCATCAACGAAGAAGGGTAATTTTTACGTTGGTGGCATTTAAATTTTGTTATTTGATTTGAGCTCAGACGAAATGTATAAGCATGTTATACTCAATGCTGTAACAGGGAAAGTCTCAAGCTAACCTGGTGGGGAAGTACGAAACCCACCATTAACAATTGCAAGAAACAATTTAATGTTTTGAATTTCTTTATCCAGTCGACTTCAAAAATATCCCAGACTCACAATGTGCAAACCAAAATCCTTCTGCAAACAATAACAATAACCTGAAATATAGGCTTAGGAAATGTACTTGTTAAGGCCGGCTTGTACTAGGTGCAAAAGCTAACCTGAACGTGTGATGTGGCAATTTTTTCGCACAACAAATTTGCAAAAGTTGAACACATTTCAAATCTGGTGCTTAGCAATTGCTTTAAGTATGAACTGATCTTTGCAATGGCAAAACATCCTCAGGAAATTAATGTGTTTATTTTGTTAATTTTTTTTAAAGGTAATATTCAACATTTGCAAACATAGCAAAAAACTACCTAATTATTATGAAATACCTTACTTGACTGTAAGTGAATAATAGTCTCAAGCATCCAGTGAAATCATGGCACTTGGTGTGCTGTCATTTTCAAGAAAAGTACAATTTTTATGTGAATTTCAAACGATGGTCGCTGATTTTTTTTTCAAATACTGCCCCCAATGTACCAAATTTAGTTAGTCTACATTTTGTTCGCAATCAGTTACACATCCCTGAACGGGTGCAAACCAGCTAGTCTGGTTCTATTTAAATTACTCTGTTTCGTCTGAAGTAGGGTCAGAGAACCAGACGACATGAATAGCATTTTGTTTCCTTGGTTTTTCCAGCATCTCTGAACACAAAACTTTTAACAGGTCAGTGCAGCAATATTTGCCATAAAATACTAACCCCCAAATACATCCTGAAAATTACAGCAAATGAAAATGTTGTGTATTACCTTGAATGTCTGCAGAGTTACTGTGACTGAAGATGGTATGAACGCGCTGATCACATTATCCAGAGGAGACATGCGACGATCCATCAACATTCTACAGGTTGGTCTCCATACGAACACAGATTCTTTTTAATTTGCACAATTCCTCAGAAAGAATGTGTGTTGCTAACTGTAAGCGTTTATGTGAATCATTTGATAATGACTTGAAAGTTTGAGAATAAGTAATCAACCAATAATCACACATGTAGGACAAAGTATGCAAGTTTGGAGGTAACTGAGCAGCATGGTTGAACAAAGAAATTGACTGGAGCGAGATTTGAACCAGTACCCTACAGATTATTGTTCCAGTGCTCTACCAACTGAGCTTCCAACTAATTGCATTCTTGAACAAAAGCATTGGCATAAAAGGGGAACTATCCGCTCCGTGCACAAGTACCCCATCAACGGCCCAAAAAGGAGAGTTAGGAGTGATCTAGACTGGTTCCAGATCCATCCACTGCGTATTTCGAATGTCTCCAAAGAAGTTGGAGGCGGAGATTAGTCTCGGAGACCATTTCAAGTTGAATTCGAATGTATTCGCGCGCCGACGACGCCTGACGCTCACGCGAAGACGCGGTTGCTATAGCTTTTGCACACTCAGGAAGTTGTGCGTACTTTGCGCACGAACCAGTACAGTACAGTACGGTACGCTGTGTCCCCCGTCCACGGAGCTCAAAAACGCGCCCTCATTTAGTAGCGCACGGAGCTCATAGGGCTGGATAGCTCAGTTGGTAGCGTGGTGGAATGGCAATCCGGAGGTTGCAAGTTCAAAGCCCACTCCAGTCAGTTTCTTTGTTCCACATGAAAACAATTTGTAAACAGTGTGAAAATGTCTGATGTTCAACGACGTATTTTTGGAAGTTTCAGTTAGTAGTTGGTTTGTAATTCGGCAAATCCGTGAATGGGTGCACGCAAGCATTGACACGATGCCGCAATCGGCTGAATGAGAACGTGTCCAGGATTTCGGGTGTAATTCAGTATATGACTCGGCAACTGTTGAATTGAAACAGAGATCCTAGAATATTGTTTTCTTAGAATATACAGCATTTACAGAACTAAAACTTTTTCAGGTTAGTTGTTCAGCACCCGTCTGTAGAATTCGAAGCACTTTTGTTGCTTCAAACGAAAAAAATGCAAATAAAAAAAAAAAAATGATCTACCCTAGCTTTAAAGCAACATGCGATTATCTGTAATCATCAGCAGTCAAAACGTCATAAGGAAACGTCGTGCTTCTGGTTCCCTGCTGTGCACTACGATGCACGTGACTACTGTAAGTAACAATGATGTGACCGACCATGATAATCTGGTCCTGAATAGTCAGCTAAACTTGCCCAACCATCATTGACTAACCAGCATTTGATCAAAGTTTGTTGAATTATGGTCAATCATAGTTCCTGATCAAACTTGCTTAAAATTGATCAGACTGATGGGTTTCCCCCATTTTGCAGAGCACCAACATGGCGTATGACCTGGTCAATGAGGAGAACGTTTACCAGTGTACGGGGCACCCACTGAGGTCGGACATTGAGAGCATTGTTGACTGGATGTTGAATAAAGACTTCACCACAGCATATAACAGTATCCTTTGGAAGAGGTGCAGATTGTTTTATTGAAGTCCTTTGACTTTTAGTTTTTGAGTTGAAGCCAGTCTTTCCAGTTTTTATACTAAGTCTTAGTTTGAGTTTCCGTAGGGGAGAACAAATCATAAATTCCTATAAAACAATTGATATCCACTTTACTTGAAATTCCATCTTAGGTCACTCAGGGTTTCGTTTTTGAAAACTCAAGAAAGAGAAGTTAGATATATTTTAAAACAATTTTGAAGAAATCTTATTTTGGTGGTTTATGTTGTGGATTTGTAAGGTTGCTGTATTATGGTTGCACTGATTTTAAAGGTACAGTCCATCATTTCTAATTTGTGCATTTTGTTTGTTTGAAGCAACAAACGTGCTCAAAATCTATAGAATCTAAAGACAGCACCGTTGGAAAGGCCTTCTTTCATTGATTTCTTCAAAACAACAGCTTGCCAGGAAGATTAATTTCACAGGGAGTTTATTCCCCTTACTATCTTCCAACCAAGTTTGTTTTTCAACAATAATTACGTCGGTTACTTTTTTGATAGCTGCAAATGATGGACTGTAGCTTTAAAGTAAAAACACATTCTAACAACTGGTACTATACCATAATTAAAATAATAAAATAGCAACTTTTTTATTTCACATGGAGCAAGAGTCTTAGAAAAAAACATAGTTGTTCATGGCGACTGTAATGTGAATCAAAGTTAAGAAAAGAATGCACTGCATCTGAAATCAAAGGCACTGCATCTGAAATTAAGACAGATTGCGGGATCGCTAGTTAATAAAGGCAAGCAAAAAAGGACATTCCATGATTTAAAAGACGTTATATAAAGTTGTGTTTTTTTATGATATAAGTGAAAAACAAAGAAATCAGCTGATCCGAGCTGATCCGAGCTGATCCGAGGAAAAGTTGCATGCCAAGAGTTACACAAATGCAGAGTGCTGTTTGAGAAACCCATTCTTTAATATTTACTGATCAGACATCATGAAGCTGAAAACTCTGAAGGGCCTAGCCCTGCAAGACATACTGACTGAAGTCCACACATACGTGCACAGAAGTAAGTACACGTACTCTAATATCATCACTTGTAATGCAAAGCTGCAATGACGACCCGTTGCATTTTGTCTAAAGTACCTGTGACACCCGGGTAATGAAACTGTGAGTTTTTTAACCGCTTTGTGCCGGGATTATTTTGACATTTACCAGACCCAGGCGCGGGATTGTTTTTCACGAACCACAATGCCAGACAGGTTCCGGCCGTCATCTGCGGGTAGCACACCCTAATACTTCCAACCTCACACGCTGCGAGCGGTCACTGACAGATATTTCATTTCATAAGCACGCTTCTTGCGTATTTATCCGTCATCCTTTCCGAATACCGCAAAACCTTTGCGTGTATACAGGTCATCCAGCGCGAACTGGTTAAATACAATTATGCAGTCATTTGAGCTCAGAACCTAGCTAGAGCGAGACGATGATGAACTGTTCAGTGTTAAGAGTGAGGAAACTCTGGAGCAATATTTGGCCTACACTGGTTATGAACCCGACCTAAAGATGGCGGAGGGCTACGAAAGTCAGTTTCTGATTTCTCATAAATTTGAGGATGCCTTTACCAGGATTTCAGTAACAGTGATGCATTTAGGCAACTTTACAATCTGGTTTGAAGACAAGATTCGAACAACTTTTAAACCATATGCAAATTTATACAAACTGTGTAATAAGTGTACCCACATCAGCGCAAGATTACTCACTTTGTCATGCTTATTGGTCACTTGACTAAGATAACAAAATTATGTTTTTCGGCAGAAAGAAAGGTCTTACTGATTCATGTGTTTTTTGTTGTTGTTTTTTTCCTTGCAGTTGATTTTCCAGTAAAAGTGAGGATACACCTTTTGGACAAGATGGCTGATGTGGAGTAAGTTCCCCTGAATCCTTCATCTTTATCCTCCAAAAATCACTCACCAAATTTTGCCTGATTTTGATGAATTCAAGATAGTAGCATCCTGATCCCTGTTGATACTTGCATGTTTCCTGATTTGAGTCGGTCCAAATTATGCTGGCCGGCAGGTATAATGTACAATATTATGTTGTGGCTTATTCATGAAGGTTCCATACTGGAGGCTGAACTTGTTCAAAAATTGTACGTCATTTTCAATCGCCGGGCGTGCATACCTCAAAAACGTTGCTAGCATTCATGATCTGTGTGGTGTGTGCATAATACGGTTTGAAATAATTTGAGACCATTGGCAAATGTTTGCATTGTTTTGTGTGAGAGCCCTTGGAGAAGTTCATTTGTTGTTTTGAGATTGTATTGTAGTGTTTTTGTGTTGTTTTGATCGACAGGCACCGTCTGGCTGCGGGTACCAGTGAGAAACTTCAACTCGGCTCGTTGCTGTCGGCTTTCCAAGTGGCTCGAGACATGGTGATGGCCGAGGCATGATAGGATACCGTGGCTGAAGCATTCTTGGATACCATTGCTAAAGCATTCTGGGACTGATGATGCCATTCATCTTGAACAGTGTTCTTAAAACCACATCACTGATAAATGGTTCGCCGGATTTTTTGTCAGTGACTGTTGCCTGGCAACTGATGTCTGTTGCCTAGCAACGGAAGGCTGTTGTCAGAGTTCATGGAGGAAGAATGAACGTTATAATCCTGATTAGGAAAACAAGTCTGAGAAAGATTTCAGTTTGCAAAATATTTCAGGTTAGAAAACGTTCAAATGCTTGTGACTCCGGATTTGACCTTTTAAAAGATATACTGTAGTGGACACAGTAGGAAAGTGCTATTTTAAGTTGGTAAGGCCGTTTTTTTTTAATTACTTGGATTACGGAATTTTTGGGTCCCCATTTCCGGCGGCGAGCGGGAAATGAAAAAAAAAAAAAAAAAAAAAAAAAAAATGGGGGCGCCCTATCATCCAACATGGCGGCGCCCATAGAGACATGAAGAAACAAAAACGGGCACGAGAATGAACAGTCACTGCATTTTCAAAACCACGGTTTCAAAGAAATAGTGACCATGGAGTGACCAGGCCAGTTCCCCCGATTTTTTTAGCATTCAAAAATCTCCTTTTCAACCTAAAGCAGACTTCTCTCAGATCAAATGACACCTTTTTGTAATTGTGAAAAACAAAATGGGATACAAATTACGTTTTTTTTAACGCGATTTTATGGGTGGTGTCGGTGCCGTGCGATCGTCATCTTTATTTTCATGTTGCGTTTTGACGTTGTCATCGTCATTTTTCCCCCAAATTTCCCTCTATTTATGACCTACCTGTATGTTCTTAAATGTCGACAACTAGTTTGGTAAGTCAAATAAATTAAAAGTGGATTTTGTTCTCTTTGAGAACCGGGCCCATACACGATCGCCATTTATAACTTTTGACAATCGGCATGATCGTCCGGACACCATGTGCACGCGTGTTTTGGCCTCGAGCTCGTTTTCCTCGTACAAAAACATCAATGCGTATTATATAGTGTACCGCGCGTGGAAGCACTGAGAAAAAGAAAGTCGGTTGGCTGCACGTAAGATCTGCCGTACGTACTCCTGCTGGTGTGTGGGTGTGTGTGTACTAATACAGATATATATTTTTGCGGCGGGGTTGTCGCTACTTGAAGTATCGGCACACTCCGGAACTGGGGATTCAGTTGTCAGTGTGTACTTGTACATCGCGCGTACCTAATAGTATAGTACGTACAGTGCATGGGGAATCGCTGGTGTTCGCACGGCCGGCCGTACCGTGCGTGTGATTGATTCAGCGAGATTTTAAGACAACCCCGATCGGGCTGGGATGACATCGAAACACATTGTTAATGTGTGGAAAAACAACTGAAATCAATTATTTTAGTTGTAAATGTACACTGTAGAGTCAAAAAAATTAAACCTGGCGGCAGGATTTTAAAGCTTGGCGGGGACTTCTTAAACATGGCGGGCGCCGCAGAAAGCATGGCGGGGCGCCAGGTTTGTTCTACAAAGTTGGAGAACACTGATGTCGTTCGATCAAACCAGTACTAATACTATGGTTTACAGGCCTGGACAGCGCGCAATATAGAGTTTTTTGTACGATAGGCACATTTTTTTTTTTTTAATTTTTTTTTTTGGGGTAGTCAGAATCGACAATTTCCGGCGGCGATTTTTTTAATTTTTTTCAAAATTCCGATTTTTTCCGGCGGCGATTCCGTAATCCAAGTAATTAAAAAAAAACGGCCTAAAGTCTTTTATATTTACCCAAGTGTTTCCAATCTAAATAGCACCCTCTTATTGTGTGACAGCGCCTGTCATTTGGTTAAAAGGCTCATGACATTTGTACAGTAAAAGAAGCATTATCATGTATTCATTTCTATTAAAAGCTTTGAGGGAGGTTTTGAAAAGGTTTGCATTCCCCCCCCCCTTAAACCTGAAACCCAAATGTTGAAATGTAAATGTACATTTAATGTAAGCCATGAAGAACTAAATTGGTCATACTACCGACATTACAGTCAATGGTTTTTGGAATTGTTGTGGTCTACATGAACATAGAAATAAAGTACTGTACATACAGTGTACCTTTATTTTCTGGAAAGGAGAGATAAGTCTGTTTGTTAGTGTTTTCCTAGTCTATGGAATATCTCCTTGCACAGCGAGGGTCTATGATATGCGAGCGGATTCGGTGATTAATTATGCAAAACAAGACTGCGCCTTGACCTCGAGATTCTGACCATTCAGCAGGCGATTTCTATCAGGTCTTCAGTAACCCGTTGTAATGCAAAAACAATGGTAGCCAAATTGACAAACCAACAGCTTAGTCCACATTTCTGATTGAAATGACCTCACAATTTCTTAAGTCTACTCCGATTGGCTGGCGCCCGGGGTCTCATAAATTTAGCATTGCTCAGATATACATGTATAAAACTTTGGTTACAGAAAGGGCTCTGTTGGACAATGGGTGATACTCGGACTAGTATTTTCCTTGCATGCCTAAAACAAAGGTTTGGCAATTGTACACATACATCTCAAAAACTATGCTAATTAGGGTCAGAGCCTACTTGCTTCCCCCAAGAGTTTGCAATACATTTACACACTTAATAATTTGGGAGGCTAATCATCCTTACTCGCAGCTGGTATGCTGAATTGCAAAGGACGGGGCTAAAACGTGGTCGGGCCGCTGGCGCGTAAAGGCGTCTATGGCTGCCAGCCACATCGACCCATATATGACCACGGAGCACAGCCTGAGATCGAAAGTGTTTTACTTTTCCGGAGGGATGAAAACCCTTGTGGCACAGGAGAGAACAAACGCACAACTCTACTCACATGTGATCCGCGGCCAGGATTCGAACCATGGTCACCTTGGCGAGAGGCGAGCGCTTTACGCCCATGCCATCCTGAGTTGCTATCAGTGGCATGTACTACTTTGCATGAAAAGTAGATGATGCTTTGTATGCACGATTTATTTATTTCTGAATGTGCAAACCTGTAGTGTCTTTGCGTGAGCATCAGGCATCCTGGTGTCTCCCCCAACTCTCAGTTAGCAACCATTGAGGGGGTACTTGTGCACGGAGTTGAGTCTTTCACAAGCTTCCTTTTGTTTATTGTTCATCCCCTGTTATCTGTGAGGCTGTGACTGGACTTGTGATTTTCTTTTAACCAGACTTGTGAAGGACCCGTGATGGACTTGAATTCAATACTGGTCAGAGTATTTGTCATGTTGGTTATCTCGCGTTTACTCTGTTAGACCAGTCTATGAAGAAGGCCCCTTTCATTGGCTAAAGCATTGTGCTAGCTATTATTCAGGTAAACCGCCATGGGGCAGTAGCTTTGTACAATAGACCTTTCTACGCTTGGTTGGCAAACTGTCTTTTTGCCAACCACGAGTTGCAAATCTATGGAAGGTCCAAAACTGCAAAAATGAAGAAGAGTTATTACAGATAACCCAAATATTATTTGATTGTTGGAAATACAACATTGTCAACAAACATAATTTCTTCACATGCCTTTTGACTGTTTTGAAGGCGTTATGAGGAAGTTTTCTGGAAAAATAATGGTCAACCCTGGCTTCAATTTATGCGCTTGCGGCAGTCCATATAAAATGGCGTCAATGTTTACAAACAAAAGAAATGTCTATAGACCTCATGCATAGCGGCCATCTTAGAGCGCACAAAAGCTCACCCATGCGTATCCCAACAAAACAAAGGCATTGCCCTCCAAGATGGTTGCTAAGCACAAGGTCTATATCGCCATTAAAGGGGCTCGTGCACAATGATCACATGCCCAGATACGATTCGTCCGTTCAGTTCTTTACCCTAAACTTTCCCGTGCAATAACCTAAACCCCTCAGTTGCAGGAATTTTTTTAACTAGGACTTAACAGGTTTCAGGATTTATCTTGCTTGATGCCCATTTGTGGTTTAAAAGTACATGTACATAAAATAGATGCCACAGTGTCCATTATACACCTGAATAAATCCCCGTCATCTGATTGGTGGATCGTCGATCACATGTCAATGAATTATTCGTACCAACGCATGGCGCGCGCGTGGCGCGCAGCGCAATGGAAGTACTATTGCACTGTGATTAGAAGTACCATTGCACTGTCACTGCACATGTTGCCGAAGGTGGTGCTGTGGTGTTTAAATTGGCAATAAAAGTTCTGAACTTATTGAACTGTTTAAGTTCTAAACTTATGGAAAAGTTTTTAATTGAGATAAATTGAATATGATAGTTCTCAACCTGTTGAACAGTTTGCATAAATTAAATATGATAACTCTGAACTTGTCAAACTTGTAAACAATTTTTGACTTGAATAAATTGGCTATTAAAAGTCATCCAATCAGATGACGAGGATTTATTCAGTTGTTATATAAAACAAATAATGAATGTTTCACGTTCGTGCAATAGAAAGAATATTTCATGAGGTGACAGATGAAATGTTCCATTCCACTCGGCTTCGCCTCGTGGAATGGAACATTTCATCTGTCACCTCATGAAATTATTCTTACCATTGCACTCACAAACATTCATTATTTGTATACTGTCCTGCTGGGAGGCGGATTTTGGATAGATATTAAAATATTATTAAGATAGAATGGATGTACAGTCCAAGAATATTCAGGTTTTTTGGGAAGGGGGGGGGGGGGGCGGGGGGAGAAGGTGAAAGTGAAGCTACAAAACTACGACATTTCAAGTTTTTAAACAAGTGACTGATTGCCCAGGATACATTTGTCACAATGTACCACTTTTAATTACAAACACCTTTTTTTTCTTCTAAGAAAACAGTTCTAATTATTTAAGCCATACGTGTACTAGTTGTCACTGTTAAAAAATGTGGCCCACACAAAAAGATTCCAAAGATTTGTACATACACAAGTACAAATTACAAAATGTATTTCCATGTACACTATACAAATTGCAGCAGCTGGAAGCTTGAGTGACAAATATAAGACAAGTACAACAGGTGCATTGGAAAAAGCTAAATTAATAAGTCACAAATAAGACTATAGATGTATGGTAATACCAACCAAAACCAAGTACATGTACATGCAATTTGGCAATGGCCTTTGTTTAGTAAGGTAAATGCAAGAGTACAAAACTTCAGCGAATAAATACATTCGGGGGTGCTCAATGTCCTTGCTTGCAGCTGAATTGCAAAGGACGCGGCTACAATGTGGCCGAGCTGCAGAAGGCATGTAAAGGCGCCTCAGGCTGCCACCATACATCCCATGTATGACCACCAAGCACAGCCAGAGATCTAACGTGCTAACAGAGATCTAACGAATTTTGCGGAAGGAAATATAATTCGCTCTTTTCACACTTCCGCCATGGGCATGCAAGAGCCTCAATCTTTCAACTTTACACAATAGATATAGCCGGTTCAGTGATTCCCGTGTCTGGGTTCAGATCACTGAACCGGCTATTTTTATTGTGTAAAGTTGCCAGA